GTAAAATTGTTTAAAATTTATATATAAAGAAAACAATAATATTTCTTATATAACTTGTTAAACTAATAAGTCTAATGTAGGGAGATCAATTGTTGTAACACTATTTTGAGGATTTGAGCTATTGTCAATCTTATTTTTTTATTAAGTTTTATATTTTTAGTTTCTTTTTATAAATTTTTTAAAATTAATTTTTAAGTTTTTTTAATAATTTTTTTTGAGTTTAATAATTTTATTAAATTTAAAAACTATAAAAAACTTATTAATAAAAACAAAATATTAGTTAAATTAAATCATATATTTCAAATAAATAAAATATAAAATAATAATAATATAGCATTTATTATATATAAAAATATTATATTATTAAAAAAACAAAATATATAAAATATATATAAAACAATAAATACAACAAATATTATAATAATCCAAATACTTATAATAAAATCCTATATTTAAATAAACCAATTAATAATATTATTAATTTTTTATAAAATTTATATTCTTTTAGAATAAAATAAAATTATTAGAAAAATATTAACCTTTTAAAATTAAGTATTTTTTAAAAATAAAATTTTAAATTAAAAATATACAGTAAATATAATACAAATATTTTATATTATCAAAAAAAAAAACTGCTTATAAAGGTTTATTGTAATTTAGATTATTTAATTAAAGTATTTTTTGAATTATATCTATTAAAGGAATAAATAAATAATTATATCTTTTTCAAAAAAATATAATTGATTTGTAATATTTTATATTTAAGATTCATTCTTGATTTTTTTCTTTTTTCTTGCTACAAGATTTTTTATAAAAAACATTTAATTGATAATGCATAACAATGTATTTTATATCTTAATATTAATAATGTAATAGATAAATATTTATTATATTAATAAAGATTATGAAAAATACTTCACTTGATATTAAAATTTTTAATATTTAATATTAAATTTTAAAGCTAATGATATATACTGTATATTGAAAATTTTAAACTATTGGGGATTAGATATTTGCTGTTGTTGTGGTTGACTATATTGTTGTGACTGTTGTGGTTGATTATACTGTGGCTGATTGTATTGTGGCTGATTATATTGTGGTTGATTATATTGTGGTTGATTATATTGTGATTGTTGGTATGGTTGTTGGTATTGTGGTTGTTGATTATATTGATTATATTGCTGCTGCTGTTGTTGGTTTTGCTGAACCTGTTGTATATTATTATCACCAGAATTCTCTTTCTTCGAATCAAGATGGATCTTATAGGAGATCCCTGCTCCTAATATGAAGGTTATTAGAAGGAACCAACCAAACACGTTTGAAGCAATGTAAGCCCCACAGACAGAATTCATTTTCGTATTCCCATAATATGCGGGTGAGATATGGGTGTAATAATAACATGGGCTTCTACTCCCCTTATAGGCCCAATATAGATTCGCAAAGACTTATTAGAGGAAAATTTTTCTGATTAGTAGACGTAATAAAGCAATTAAGTTAGAATAAATTGAATTTAATCATACCTTCGGTGATCCATAATACGAAGAATATACTAAAAAATGAATACTTATGAATAACTGTCTCTAACACGAATTGAAGGCGTGGGTACCAACAGAATTAAGTGTACTCACGCGTCAAATCCGATGAAATAAATTTCACGCCTTTTTTCCCAAATACGTCCCATATGAAAGAGGATCAAATATGTAACTATGGAAAAAAAAATATGTAATTAGCAAAAAATGATGAGATCTTAGATTATTTAATGAAAATAGACTTACCAACACTTAAAAACGTAATTAGCATTACGACGAACACCCATACGACTGATCCTTCTTTTCCAAGAGACTTGCCAGTGAAATATTCCTTAGAAGCATCCTTACGAAAATAATAATTGTAATAGTAATTATAATAGGAAATGAAATTTGCCGCTTGGGCGACCTCTATTCAAAAAATAACGGGATTACGATGTTATATTTTTTAACTTTGGATATGTCATCACAATTTAAGCTATGATAATCAAGGTTACAAACCTAGTATAACGATAAGAAAAACAAGAAGTAGCTGGACACCTCTTATACCTAGTAAAATGCGTTTAAGAGGAAGATTACGAGGATCCATTTTTTTCTACGAAAGGTAGCTCACAGTTACTATGGGCAGATATCGAATGGAAATGCGAATCCAAACGCGAAAAAAACCGCAAAAAAGTTCAAAACAAACGTATTTTAAAGATTTGTATCAGGAGATATGTTGGGGAAAGTCCGTTATCAAGTGAAACAAGAATCGCGTTACAACAGGCATTATTCTTTTAAGAATTCTAAACACCATATCGTTTACCGAATAAATAATATGAATCACCAAATGCAAATAATACTGCACACTAAGCGATTGCACTGGGCATTATGTGAAACCAAATCCTTTAGTCTCGGAGTAGTAAAAAAATGGTCCCAAAAAATTTTTTATAACTGCTCAAGTCTTACGGAGAATAATACAATAGTCACTTTTACCAGAAATGGTAAAGGGTACTACTATACATTTGTCAGCACGATTTCAGAGTCGACATATTTTTGGATGACAAATGTGTAGCTATTTTTGAAAGGCGAACAAGGAATTTTATGGCTCCCATAATTGTTATTATACGGACCCTTGTCTTCAATGTCACAACAGATGTGGGCAATTATCTTTGAAGACAATAAAAATGCTAAAGTATATAATGCAAACTTGGAACCGTCCCACAAAAACAATTACCCTCATCGTCACAAAATTCAATTCATTATATAACTAATTTTGGGAATCACTAAAATGGTCCTTATAACTAAAAACTTGAATTAACAATTACTGTATTATATTTTATCATCATTTATCATCATTTATCATTTTTTATTATATTTTCTATAGTATTTTATTGTTTTCTCAAAATGTCTATATAATTTTGAATGAAATAGCAAATTCGGAATTCCATATTTCAAAAACCTAATCTCTAAGCTTCTTTGAGATTCTAAGTAATTATTTGCAAAAAAATTAGAGAAATATTTTTTGTTATTAGAAGAATGATATTTTAAATAATTTTGCTTTTCTTTTATGGATTTGAATTTTCTTTGATGATTGTTCAAAGTGTAATAAATAATTCTTTAATCAATTATTTATGTAAATAGATAAATTATATATAAATAATTAGTTTGGCAACAACCTACAATTAATCAAAACATTATAAAAAAATTGTGTTTTTCTTCAGCTTTGAAAAAGAACAACTAAACTTATAATTATAAAACTTTGAATTCTTATAATTTTTTTAAGTTTTTTTTAATAAAACTATTATTATTCTATATTTTTTCTTATATTTTATTTTGAAATTCAATTTTTATCTTTTGATTTCAATATTAGAACAGAGTTATAAAATTTAGCTAAAGCAATAATTTTGAATTGTTCATATTAATTTATTTAATAATATTTGAAACAGAATATATATTAAATAAATTAAATTATTAAAAATTGAAAATTTTTTTTCAATAATTTTGAAGTTTGTCAAAAAAAAAACTAAAATTTTTAATATATTAAATTATTAAATTGTAAATTTTCTTTTCTTTTAATTTATTTTGATATTTTTTTAATAATTTTTTTTTATTTTTATTTATTTTATTTTTATTTGATACAATTTTTATTTTACTTTTTAAGATAATAACAATATATTATAAGAGTATATATTCATGTTTAAATTATTAACTTGATATATAAATATATAACTATATTTTAAATTTTTAATATATTGTAATATTGGATTATGTAACTCTTCATCAATGATAAACTCTTCAATTTTATTACAATAAAAATAATACAATAACTATATTATATAAAATACATATACTATTAAAAATGATAGAATCTTTCTAACAGGTGATTTCGTTATTTATACTACAAAGCAACATTGTTTCACTTTGTAATAACCTAACCAGTGACTAAACTAATTTATCCTGGCTTTTAATATATTAACTATAGTTCACTTTTTACTTGAAATAAAAACCAGTCAATTGATTAGATTTTTTTATAATACAATAATAATATTATTTA